ATTCTATGACGAATACTTAAACGCTTTATCGAAGGGTCATGGGTAATTGCGATGACCAATTTTATTGTCATTATAAAATTAATTCAAGATATTTATTACAGGTTTGATAAGGTTATTGTATTAAAAATTGTTGTTCTTTGATTGAGTTTACATTTATTTAATCGTAATTTATTAAAAAAAAAATTATCCAAAATATTACCTGTTAAGAATTGGATCTGAGGACACCTTTTTACACACAATTATTTTTCGATTTTAATTTTGTGGTCAAAACAAATAAAAAAATAAATCGTTAAATCAATCAAAACTAGATTTTAATCCAATGTAACAAAACTTATTTTACAAGCCTCGATGTTCGGTATTTTTTGTTTCATCACTTTCGTATATCGTCTTCCTGTTCCGATAACGGTATTTAGGTTAATTACCTTTAATTATTGCTTAACATAAGCTAAGTGATTATATGACTAATAGAGTTTTTACAATGCAACTTTTAATGAACTTTTACTAATGATTTTCGTATACGTCGATCGTTTATGTCTTTTTCTAGTCGTAACTTAGTGATGAGTTAAGCTACTCATTGATATATATTGCTATCTCTTTTTTTAAATACAGAATAAACGAGATGACAATATGTTTCTGAACAAATGCTTCGGAAGTAGAAACTGAAATAATAATTATATATACTATGGATACAGAACAGGAGCTGTATCCGACACTGACCGCGCGTAATAAAAAAAACTTGATTAGTAGCCTATATATCTTCCAGATTGTTTTTTACATCTCTACCTACCTCCCTTCTAATAAACATTTATCCATCCATCTAAACATTTGCAGTTACTCGTATATTAGTAAGATTATTGTATTGCAAAAATTGCCCAAATCAACCTTTTTTATTCATTAATTATTTGAATTGAAAAGGATAAAAATGTTATAAACATACGTATTAATATACAAGGAATCAAATCGTGTATTAAACAAGAGTTGCAAGTATGAAAAAGTGATATAAAAAGGTATAAGAGTATAGTAGGAGCTCTCAAAGCTTTCCAAGTATACTCGTCTGTGGCTAATTTATATTCTGCGCGCACTAGAGTGGGTTGTTGACGTGCTAATTAATAAAGAGGTTACTACATAATAAGCCTCTGAAACTAGTTGATTTTTCTATAATCATTTTCTTTTTTTTTACATAAATTGTGTCAATGGTTTTATATAGCCAGATACTTTATAACGAGTTCAATTAAAAACACCACACTGCCTATAGTCTGACAAACTTATTTCATCCGGTCGGCATAAGTCAAACTGATAGCCCATTAACTCTCTTTCCACAAATTTGGAACTCATCAACATTCATCATTTAAACTCATCATAATAATATCCACCTTGCAGGTAATTTTAACCTTGGTCAGATGACCGGGTAATTTAACCCATGGTCAGATGACTTGTTATTTTCACTTACGGTCAGATGACCTCGTAAATTAACCCATGGTTAGATGACCTGGTAATTTGACCAACGGTCAGAGGACCTGGTAATTTATCCAACGGTCAGAGGACCTGGTAATTTAATCCCCGGTCAGATGGCCCCGTCAAAGTTTTTGTGGCCCAATAGTGTTTCTAGATGTAGCCGTCAACTCTTAACATTTTATGTTATACTGAAGTGTAATAATCATCAATCTACTCCTAATTTTAATAAGATTATATTTAGTGCGCATGGTCAAGTCGAATTGAATCATCCTGTGGAACCTGTTTCCATTATGTCAGCAGAAAGCGGCCCTTTCACACGTCCGCGTCAATATTGACACGACAGATTTTTAAGTAATTGCCGTACCTTAAACAGTCTGTTACCGTGTGAATGCGTTTAACACTATTATATATAGCTTAACGGAATTTTTAAAATACGTGATATTTGTTGAGTTTGAAAGACTTTATTTTTTCCGTGGAAACATAATGGCGCGAAAAAGAAAATCTTACTTATGTTATAAACGCGTGCGCGATGTTTGTTTGTTACAAGATATCTCTAGAACGGATGAACGGACCTCAATGAAGTTTGGCATACTTATAGAACATAGTCCGGAAAAACAGATAGGCTACTAATTTTGTTTATTTTTTTAATTTCGTGCGAACGAAGTCGCGGGCGACGGGGTTTTGTTACAATGTATCTCCGGAACCGCTCAAAGGATCTTGGTGAAATTTGGCACAGATGCAGAACATAGTCTGGTAAAACACATAGGCGTATAACTCTTTATTAAGTCTTTACACTTAGTACTAAAATTGTTATTATTAAGAAGCCCCAATAGCCTAAATATTAAGTTTAATAACTTAACTGCAGATTACAAGTCAAGTGCTAACCCCTGAGCCATCGACGCTCTGAATGAACTACATTCAAAAAAAGTGAAAGCAAATTCGATGGTAGAGTTACAATGAACTTTTAACTGAGAACAAACTCGTGTGTGATTAAAAATGAAAGCGAATACGCTTTGATTAATGAATCGACTATCACAATTCTGAACGTTTTTGAAACAACATTCCGCCCCTTTCTCACGACTAGAATACCGTGAGTACATATACATACTTTTACATTAATCGGCCTACACTCTTACATTTTTGGAATAAGATATTTTCGCGTTCGCGCAGAATTAATAAACTTAATAAGTAGCCTATATGTTCTTGAAAACTCTGTTCTACATCTGTACCAAATTCCAACAAGATCCGTTAAGCCGGTCCAGAGATACCTTCTAACAAACATCCATCCAACCATACGTGCAAACATTCGTATCAATTTCAAATGAGCTTAAAGTTTTAACTAGGATATTGGTAATGATGATATTCGAATGCCGGGATTGGATTCTATGACCATAGGAATGGTAATAAAAAGTAGTTTAATCATTAGGTTTTTGGCGTTTAAAAACAAATTATTAAAAATGTATCCCAACTTATTCTATCATTAATATTGCTATCGAGTTTTAAGCAATAAAAATAATATTCTTAGTTAAATTATTGACTAAAATAACATCTCAACATTACTAAATATTGACTAAACTAAACAATGTTAAGTTAAAAAAGTAGTATTACTTTAACTTAAAATCACGCAGCTGCGCAAAGTTACGAAGTTTGCGCGATCTGTACACAACAGTTTATTTTTAATTTATGCATTCATGGAAATACTTAGTAAATTTTTGTTAAAGGAAGAAAAGTATATTCCTATAAAGCAATTACCGGCTGTTTGTTGTCTCAAGTGGGTATATACCGAAATATTTATTAACTATTGGTTTCTTAGACAAAAAACTCTGTAGAAGATATATCGTCTCTGTCCCTTATGGGTATTTTGGTCTCAGAAACCCACGATAAGACCTTCAAGTATAATATTTACGATTTAATCGACGATGTGACATATAAACTTTTTTGATATTTGTTACTATTTTCCTGTGATATAAAAATCAAAATAAAACACAATTAAAATGTTGTTATCTTCTAATAAAACCAGCAAAGATACTGCTCTTATGTAAGTATGTAAAAGAACTCACTACATTAAATGAGTTTCACTCTACGTCCACTTTTATGCTCAGGATGCTCCAATATTATGCTTTAAAAAAAGAAATGAAACATGAAAATGTAGTTAAAATAAAAGTGATCTTAAGACTTGCTTTTGTGTTACAAGTGAACTCTTAACATTAAAATTCAAATGAAAAAAATATAAAACTAAAGAGTTGTTTGTTTGTTTCTATATAGCTCGATTGCGACTCAAAGTGACCCACATGATGAATTCTCATAATCCTCTAGCAAGCACTCGTCAGACGTGCTCCATAAGAATTACGCTGTAACCCCTGACAACATGGATGACATAAACAAGGACCCCTTCCCCCCATTTAAACAAGTTGAATGCGCTCCCCGCAGCCTCCTCGCACGTGTACCAGGGACGCAACCCTTTACACTTCCTCTCGTGCTTGCAATTAAAACGAAAACCAGAGCGAAACGCGAGAAAGGCGCAACGCGTGGGTGCGAAAGGGACACCCTGCCTCATTTACCGGAGCACTTTTTATTTCCACTTGCACTCGACAGAGGTCGTCGGCCAATCAACGTACTCTGTTTCGCCCGCGCGCATTGGCCGGTTTGAATAAAGAGCGGTTTTTGAAAAATAACAAAAGAGGGTAGGTAATAGCGCGTTTTGTTTGCTACGAGTGGCGTTTTTGATTTGAGTGCCGCAGCTCGCGGGGAGCGGACGTCTTCAGAACCTTAATTACTTTAGCGGTTTGTATTGTTGGGCTTCCTGAAGAGCGCTTACGTTAAGTTGGCACTTCATTTCATTTGTCAGATGATGTTTAACATTGTTATTTATTGCACGCAGCCCGTTCCCCGGTTCCCGAGTCGTGATATTGCAAAACAAGCAAATTAGCAATGTTTATTTCACTCTAACAATCCTTGTTGCTACATGACGTTGGAACCGCGCAATTGGCTGCTGTTTGCTCTAGTAGGGCGCGAGTGCATTGGCAAAGAGCTTGATGTCTTTTGCGATGTATATTATTAAAGAGATCTGTTAACTTTTAATATATTTATTAATAATTACTTAGGATCGATATTCTTTCTTACGCTATGATTGATTTCAAATTAACTTATGCAAAAATATATCCTAACAAATTATTTAAAAATAACTTATCTAAATAAAATTTAACGTCCTTGCACAATTTAAAGATCAGCGAAAGTAATTTATTGCCCTGTTGTTAGTTTTAAATTTCATACCTGGCAAGGAATTGGATATCCAGTAACAAAAACAATGAAGTCTTTTAAAAATATTACCTCATAAGATGAATGGTTGGAGATATCATATTTAAAATTGGAGACAACAGATTCGAACAAAGCACAGGGCACCAAACAGGTCGTTGGAAGGCAAGTGCTTTCTTTACAATCAAGTATAGAAATCTCCGATATGTCTTCAATTTTTTCTCTTCTTCATTTATATTGAGTACTTTGTAGTTCTTTAGTAGTATTAACAAATGAACGTTTGTTAACAGGAACTTGGCAGTACCTCGCGCGCCAGCACAGGCCGGCAACTCTTCGCTGGAAACCTTCACGACGCTACAGAAAGAGAGCTGCCACAGGCTGGAGTATCTCGTTGAACGGCAGAAACAGCTGTGTTTACTCTCTGATAGAGTGCTACAGGTATAAAATAATTTAGTATTTATAAACTAACACAACTTACCGCTTAACCTGTAGGGGTAGGCAGAGACCACGAACGGATTTGGCCTAGTCAAACGAACCTCCGAAATCCACTTGTCGCCCTTTCGGGCGACGAAACGTGATAGTTCGCGAGGCGGGTCGCTGACTTTTTTTCGGGGACTTATCTTTGAAATTTCTTTCCTGATTACAATATTTTCCTTCACCATAAGAACGTCGGATAAATGAACATATGTTAATCAAAAACACATTGATACATGGCAAGATTCGAACCTAGGACCTGTATATCACAAGTCATGGGCTTAACCTCTATGCCACTGACGCTTTCTTAAAATACATACAGTTTTATGAATTAAATAACACGTTTTATTGATGGTACTTCCTTGCTTACTTAATTATTAGTTATAAAATGATACTGCCGTTAAACGGACTCTTAACGTTTAAGACTTATAGATGGGCATTTAAGATACTCCGTTGAAAGGCTTATGAAGGAACGATTACTTTAACTTTAATTAAATTACGGGATAAGTTTTATTCAGTACATGATTTCATATTTATAATTGACATGTTATATTGTTTCGTTCTTTCAGGTAATAAAAATGGGCAATACAAATTACATATTATAGGCACGGAGAAATATAATTTTTACGTAGAATATTATGTGCTCATAAAAATTATTTACGATGTATAAATAAGCATAAATTTTTGTCTTGACTACTTTATTGTAATAAAGCCTATTATTTACAACTTTTTATAAGTGGTAGCTAAAATGTGTCGTGTATTGTTACGTTATGCGGGTCACATATTACGTTACTTTTATTTTGTTAAAATATCCTTCCTTTAATTATCATTATCATCTTTTTACATGAATAAAATAAAATGAGTAATTTTATAACGTAAACCTCAAACTACAGTGGGCCTAGCATGAATATTTATAATAATAGTCATGGTATCGTCATCGACAAAGTATTCATTGTGCAGCGCCCCCTATCGACCGTAAAGTATACCAAAAATCATATCGCATACTAATTTTGACATAATTGAAAATGACAATACAAAATGATTGTCACAAATATTCGAGATAGAGACAGTTCAAATGTGATAACATTAGTCTTTTGTTTTATTTTACAATAGCGGTCGCCCGCGACTCCGTCTGCGTGGTATTAAAAAAACGTAATTGTATGTCAAGATCCGTTCAGACTATCTGGAGATACCAACAAAACATACATCCAAACATTCGCATTTATAATATTAGTAAGATTTCATTTAATGAAACCTTAGCTACAGGTTTTCGACTGACTTGTTTTCGCGATAAATATCTTCCTATATATTCATGCTTGTTGACTCCAGTGTTTCAAAGAGCATTGGTAGCGAAGTCAACTATAGCAATATAGGTCCCACAAATTGTGTGATATCAACCAATTTGTACTGGGTCAGCTATAGTGGCCTAGTTATAAACATAGGATATGCTTGAAGCCCATCCTTGGCATGTTTGATGACGTCATTGCTTGATTTTTAATTCATTATGATGTGGTGTTTCCAGGTGTTGCAGACGGGCGCAGGACAAGCGGTAGAGGAGTGCCAGTATCAGTTCCGCCATAGCCGATGGAACTGCAGCACCGTCGCTAATTCCACCGATATCTTTGGAGGAGTACTTAAATTTAGTAAGTTATTTTACCATTTTACCTTACTACTACGTATTGGCCCGGCTCGCCCGGTGAAATACCACAACCACACAGAAGACAGGCGTCAAGTGGAAGCAATTCCAAATGCAGTCTGATGAGTGAGCGTCCCGGAGGCCTAATTTAGTCCTCTTTCCTTTCCTACCCTTTTTCTCTAATAAGGAAAGGATGGGAAGTGGACATTCCTGATGAGAGGATGCATGGAAAGGGAAAATGTTTTCTTTCTGTGCATCCTCTCCTCCGTCAATTAAAGGTAGGCAACGCATATGCATACTTCGGTATTTCAGCCATTTCAGGTGGCCGCTCGCTCGTTTGCCACCTTATTATATAAAAAAAAAACTTACGGAGAGTCGGCAGTATGTTTATCTACTTTGAATACATCTTTATCATTATCTGAGAGTACTTTATTCTTTCAAATATTTCGCCTTTTCACACAATCCATACTGACATCGACCTTCTTTCCTTTGTAGCCCCTTTAATCTAATAACTTTCAGGTTTTTCTACCTTCTGTTTCTTTCAAACCTTACTTTATTATTCTTAACATAAGCTAATAGCATTAATTGGTTGGTTTCTGAGACTAAAATCCTAGTATAATACATATTGCTATCTCTTATAAATTATGTTACATGTTTTTATAAATGGATTTTGGTTTTAGAAACCCACAGTTAATGTTCTAAGTATAGAAGTAAGAAATATATATAGATATTGTAATGCACTTCTGAGTCCTAAGCATGTGTTCTTTGATGTTGCTGTTGTGTTACTCCGCAGTGGAATCAGTCTTCACTTGTGTTTATATTACAATCAGAGGGCACGACAAGCAACGTTGCCACAGAACTACAAATATAATTGATCTGGCATTTAGAAAAAATACAATACCACGACAAAAAAAAATATGTTTAATTTAAGCTGTATATTAATTTTGTTAGAATCAATGTAAGATACCACGATATAAAATGTAATATGTTGATTCTTTTTATGTTCTTCCATTAAAATAAAGTTTAATTCGTTGCTATTGACTTAAAATTCTTACTAATATTATAAATGGGAATATTTAGATGGATGGATGGTTGGATGTTTGTTTGAAGGTATCTCCGAAACGGACCAATGGATCTCGCTAAAATTTGGCTTAAGTGTAGAACATAGTCTCGAACAACACATAGCTGCTTAAGTGTTAATTTAAGTGTTAATTCCGCGTGGATGGAGTCGCGGGTGATAGCTAGTTTAACATAAATGTTGCATTGAAAATATTTCTTTACCTGAATCTTAATTAATTAAAGCTTAAACTTAGACTTAACTTAGTTAATAGAGGTCTTTAAGGTCTTTAAGATTACCTTAACAACAAAATATCTTTTATATGTTCTTCGCTTCTCTTGACCACACAAGCTAAAGTGCGTCGTAAAATCATAATTAGATTTTCAATTACCTACAACCACATAATACGCGGTAGCCTTAACTTTTTAATTTACTGTTATGTTTACTCTAAGTTGACTTCCTGTCAAGACTATGGTAATATTATATTCTCTTTGAGACGATAACTAGCTTGATCAGGTGTTTGAAAACCAAATTTTATCCTACTCGAAGGACCAGTAAGTTGCAATACAATGTAACTTGAGTTTAGAAGTATCGTTGGGAGAATTTTGAATTATTGTAGACGGTAAAATATTTATATACAAGTTTAAACTTGCTGTTGCCTGCGACTTCATTAGTTCAGAAGAAAATAGCTTATATAATATATTTGTTTAGCTGTTCCATAGATTTTCGGGAAAAAACGTAGACGTGCGGAAAGACACACATTTTAAAAATTGTTTTTTGCTTATCATCAACGCAAATTACTGTGCATGAAATGTCTTTTTTTTCATATTAAATACAGACATTTACATTTTTTTGATATATATAGATTCACATTATCCATTTGTATGGTAGATTTTTTATATAGAAAGTATTTTTTTCTGATATAAATTAATTGACGTTAAATCTTCACAGATTAAAAAAATATAGTTAACAAAAACCTGTATTTAATCAAAGGTTTTTTTATAATATCAGATAATAAGATTAAAACGATTATGATTCAGTCGATAGAGTGAATTTCCGCGAAGTGATGTTTATCTAAAATTTGGATATCTTCCATGCATTTTGTATATTGTTATAATAAATTGTTTATTACTGTGCATCCAATATCTAAATTATGTTTAATATCTTCATGCCAGCTCCATTTCTAGACGTTTTCAAGGAATTTCTTCTCTTCATGTTATTTGTTTATTTTCTAATGTCGATTACTGAGATCACGTGTTGACTTGTCGACGGAGCGGCTCAGTTTGTTTAAAGTATGCCACTAATAAAGTAACCATTGTAACATGACCTCTTATAGCTGATAGGAAAAGAAGTACGTAAAGAAATGCCGAGGTCAATGTCATTGGTTTACTGTACTTACAGCGGTCATTGAACTTTACGTTTATCTAAGACCCAAGATCCTGATGGTATTCAACGTTCAAGTTATTCGTTATCCATAGAATTGATTTGTTCGGAAAAACTTTTTGTGTTTTTCATACTTTAGTGATATAGTCACTGCTCTTGGTCGTTTATAAAATGGATAATTTATCGGTATGTACAAGTAAGAGAAGAACATAGTCCAGGCCATTTTAGGATCCCTTAAGGAATTTGCAATTCTATCAAGCTATACAATCGAATAAGTAGCATGAAAGAGGTTGCGGATTCAATCTAATGTCGAGTTTACGGCTCATCCATTGTGGATCGGGCGAGTGTCGATTGTTTTTTGCTTTTTTTTTGGACTCAGACTCTGGGAGGAGAGTCTTCTATTTTCTAAATTCCTTATAAATAATTGTTCTTTTATAGAATCTCGCGAATCAGCGTTCGTGCATGCTCTCTCATCGGCGGCGCTGGCTCACGCGGTGGCGCGTGCCTGTAGCCGTGGCGAGCTTAACGAGTGCTCGTGCGATGCCAGGGTTAGGAAGAGGACGCCCAGGCATTGGCAATGGGGAGGCTGTTCTGAGGTGAGCTAAAACATTAAGTCAAATAATTACAATTTTAAAACCTTAGTAGACCAATATTAAGATTTAAGAGGCAAGGAATAATCTCAACTAACGTTTTCAATTTTCAGGATATAAGATACGGTGAGATGTTCAGCCGAGACTTTGTTGATGCCAAAGAAGATAAAGACACTGATGTGGGTCTCATGAATCTCCACAACAATGAAGCTGGACGAAGGGTAAATTTAATAGCTTAATTAGCAAACATTTTTAGGCAAGGTCATTCAATTAATTCTCGAATCCCTTAATCGATGAAGTTCTTTTTCGATGTTCAAAAGCTTTGTGAAGGGATTGTTAAATTTTACATACTAAAACTTTTGAGTCTATTCTAGAAGTAAATATTTCATTCTATTTGTTTTCTATATGTGTAGAGCGTTAGTGGCTCAGGGGTCAAGCACTTGACTTGTAATCTGCAGGTCCTGGGTTCGAATCCCGCCATGTAACAATGTGTTTTTCGATTTCCGATTTACATATATACATTTATCAGACGTTCTTACGGTGAAGGAAAACATCGTGATGCAACCTGCACATATCTGAGAAGAAATTCAAAGATATGTGTGAAGTCAACCAACCCGCACTTGGCCAACGTGGTTGACTATGGCCTCTTCACCCTTAAGTTAGGGTAGGTCTGAGCCTCTCGGTGGGGACGTATAGTGAGCTGATGATGATGATTTGTTTTCCAGGCGGTTCGTAGCCGTATGCAGCGCGTGTGCAAGTGCCACGGCATGTCGGGCTCGTGCTCGGTGCGCGTCTGCTGGCGACGTCTGCCGCAGCTGCGACTGGTCGGCGACGCGCTCGCCACACGTTACGAGGGCGCTTCACATGTCAAGGTCATTTCTACAGTACGTGGATACAGGGAGTTTTATTTGATGAAGATAGAAATTGCACTTACTGAGTACACCACTAAAGGAGTCTCTTAGTGTGGATTGCTCGTACCAAATATACACATAAAGGATCCTTTAGTAACCACTGAATAACAATGCGGCATTTAGACTAGAGAAAACTGATCCATAGTAGTAGAATACAATTCTGATAGACTGGTATCCATAGCTTTAAATACACTATACACTAAAAGGCCTCTAGTTTTAGTAGTAGTCACATAAATGAATATAATATTAGCAAATTAAATCTTTATGATACTTTAAATAGCGACTAAATTAAAATTAAAATATGATACGTTATTACTAATTATTAATTAATAATTAATAGATGTTGAAAAAATTATTGCTTATATGTGTTATTTTATTTTAAGGTGGTGGAGCGAAAACGTGGTAAGAATATGCGAAAGCTGAGACCTTTGCATGCTGATATGAAGAAACCAAACAAAACTGATCTGGTATATCTAGAAGAATCTCCTGACTACTGCGAACCTAATGATGAGTAAGTATGTCGTAATGAATACAGTCTTGGTGAAATATTAGTTCTGCCCTCTTGGGTATTACTGTTATTGATGTAAAGACAGTTTTTTCCTTTGTACCAGGAAATTTGAAGTATAACTTAATACCAGAAAGACGAACAAAAAGTTATTTTAAACAGCTTCATATGTGCAGTTATTTTATGTGTTCTTGCTTTGATGTCTTCTACTACTACTATTTTTCGTTCTTTTAAAAAAAATCTGGGTCTTGGCCTTCAAAAATAATAGTCTCCGCTTTGCTCTATCTCATCTCAACTACTTTACGTGATTTATCGAAGACTGTGGCAATGTTGGTAACAAAAATCAACGAGCAAGCAGTCGCGATTAAAGCGCAAACTAAGAAAATAGACGATCAAAAACAGCTGATTGAAAAAAATTTTGTAATAATTAGTGAACAGAAGAGGGTAATCGCGAATTTAGTAATTAAAGTGGACAAGCTTGCTGCGGTCGCGGACGGCACGAAGAAGGGGACAGCAGCGCCGTCTAGTGCAACTACGTCGCCGAGCGCAACAGAGACAGCTGTAGGCTCGGGGGAAGCGGGGCCGGTTACCCGCGCTCGCCGCGCCGCGCAGCGCATTGAATCTAAGGGCTTGATCACATCGTGCGTGCAGGAGCCGAAGCGATTAAATACTGCGGATGCTCCCAAGGATAAATCTACGGATGACTTAAATAATAATCAATCCCCAATAGTTTCGGAAGGGCAGACAGTTTCTAAGAAGACATCATCAAATAATTTGCAAACCAAAATTGTTCAACGGGGTGGTAATAGCGTGATGTCTTCTATTCTGGCGGTCGAAAAAAAGAAATTTTTACATATCTGGTCTCTTCATCCAGACACAACGAGTGAGGCCATAACCGAACATGTTGAAACTGTATGTGGCTCCAAAGATATAAAAGTTGAGAAGATAATACCAAGAACTAAAAGAGATTATGCGTCTTTCAAGGTTGGAGTTCCGGAATCATTGTACGGAAAAATCAATTGTTGTGATTGCTGGCCAGTTAATGCCAAGTTCAATGAATGGGTGTGGTTTCGAAACCAACAAAGATCTACGGGAAAGGAGAGTAACCAAAAATAATTCGATATTAATATACTATCAAAACGTGAGAGGACTCCGAACGAAAACGTCAGCATTTTACACGAATATTTTGAACAATTCGTGCGACTTGTTTACTATAACAGAGACGGGTCTAAATAACTCCATAGCGGATGGAGAAATTTTTCCCGCTGGTTACACAGTGTTAAGATGTGATCGAGCCGATGGACGGAAACAAGGCGGAACACTGATTGCTGCATCGTCGCGGTTGGAACTAAAACGTGTTCAAGTCGATAGTGTGGATACGGCCTTATTTGAAATAGTTTGTGCTACCGTATCACATCGTCAAAAATTTTTGTTTTTGTGTTGTGTTGTGTATATTCCCCCCAAATCGAGTGTGCAAGAATATAGTCATTTGTTTCATATACTTGAATCTAAATGTTCGGAATACGATAAAGTGTTAGTGATTGGAGATTTTAACATGCCGTCTTCCACACAAGAGATACAGCATCATTGTGAGTATGTTGCAGCCTATTGTGGATTCCGGCAGGTAAATAATTTCATTAACATTAACGATAGAACTTTGGATTTGGTATTGACGACCCTTGCCGAATGTGATTTGAGAGTATTTTTGTGTGACGACCCCGTGGTGGACGTTGACGTGCAGCACCCCCCTCTGCTGCTGGAATTGCGGCAGAGGGGGGAGCGCACCCACCGCTCTAACTCTGGGCTTGGAGACGCCGAATGCAATTCGAATGATAACGGTTCAGTTGAAAATATTAGATGGAATTTTAAAAGATGTAATTTTTTTCAATTATATAGTCTATTTGAAAAGTTTGATTGGAGTCCGTTATATGAAATAAACGATGCCGACGCCGCGTTGACATATTTCTATAATGTGGTAAACCAAATGATTGACTCGTCTACACCGAGAAAACTTTGTAACCGGGGTAAAACAAATTCAAAATGTAATTATCCGACATGGTACACGGCCGAATTAATTAAACATATTGAAAAAAAGTGGAGGTTACATAAAATATACAAAAGAACTAAATCGCAAGCGGACTATCGAGTATTTTCTCACTATCGGGCTTTAGTAAAAAATATGATCGAAGGCGCGTATAAATTATATCTGCAAAATCTGCAACTAAATTTAAAAAATGATCCAAAATCGTTTTGGAACTTCGTTAAAAATAAACGGATTAATTCTAACAACAGTCGAGTTACTAAAGGGGGGGTGGAAGTGAAAAAAGAAGATAGTGCGAAATATTTTGCGGAGTACTTTCATTCGGTATATAGCTCCAAGCCGCCGAACTTAGACCCACGGTCGGCTGAGCGGACGGCGGCGCTGGCGCCGTCCGGCGCGGACTCGGCGCGCGTTCATATAGGCCAGGTGAGCGAGCGCGATGTGCGCGCAGCGCTCGTCCGCCTCAAGCCCAAACAATCGGTAGGCCCGGACGGCGTACCGCCTTTCATAATTAAAGATTGTCGCCTATCATTTGAGATGCCCCTTTGGCATATTTTTAATTTATACTTAAAAGAAGAACGCTATCCGGATAGATGGAAAATTACCCGCGTAATTCCGGTTCCAAAAAAAGAATCAGGAACGGAACTATGCGATCATAGACCTGTAGCGATACTATCGGCGGTTGCTAAAGTATTCGAGACGGTAATACACAGCAGCATTTGTTCGCAGGTGAATTCCCGGCTATCGGACGCGCAGCACGGCTTCCGTAAGGGTCGAAACACGGAGAGTAACTTGTTGTCCTTCGTATCGGAACTAGCGCCTGCCGTGGACGCCGGAAGACAGGTCGACACTGCATATTTTGACTTTCGCCGCGCATTTGATACCGTAGACAACGATATATTATTAATTAAATTTGCTGCGTTTGGGTTCACTCCCAGTTTACTAAACTTTTTTGCTAATTACCTAAAAGAGCGCAGACAGTACGTCGAGTACGAGGGTTACTTTTCCGCGCCATATTATACTTATTCCGGAATAAGTCAAGGCAGTAATCTCGGTCCGTTAGAGTTTATTTTAATGATTAATGACCTTCCGTCAATAGTAAATCACGCACAGTGTTTATTGTATGCGGACGATTTAAAACTTTTTTTAGTTATAAAAAATGGTGACGACTGCTTGCGATTGCAGCGGGACATTAACAGCGTGTTGCAGTGGAGTAAGGACAACAAGTTGTTCTTCAACGTGAACAAGTGCTGTGTGATGTCGTATAGTCGAGCGCGCGCGCCACTGCACCATCCCTACGTGCTGGATACGACCCTCGTCCCGCGCGTATCTCACGTCCGTGATTTGGGAGTCGAGATGGTCGAGGAATTGAACTTCCGAAACCACATTGCGAATATCTGTAGGAAATCGTTTAGAAATCTCGGTTTTATTATTAGGCAATGTAAGAATTTTGAAAATGCGCTGGTAATAAAAGTTTTATATAACGCATTAGTTAGGAGTCATCTAGAAACGAGTAGTTCCATTTGGAGTCCCCATGAAAAAAAATATAGTCTGATGGTAGAAAGAATTCAAAATAAGTTTACGCGGTTCCTGTATTACAAACAGTACGGAGTTTATCCTAGCTTCCCGTTAATGTACCCCAGTTTATTTGTGAATGGCATGGTCGGATACAGCACGTTGCGAGTGCGTAGGGACGTGGCCCTCGTGCGCGGCGTATGGCGCGTCCTGCGCGGCGCGGTGTGCCAGCCAGCCGTGCTTGCAGCGCTGCGGCTGCGTGTCCCTGACTGCGTGGTTCAGGTGCGCCGCCGCCCGCCATTGTTTCTCGAGCCCACCGCTAGGACGAAGTTATTGGAAAATGCTTCTATAGTGCGGGCTATACGGCTTCTCAATATCATATCTAGAGATATAGATTTATTTAGTTGCAGCGAGTCGAAATTCACAGAGGCTGCGTACAGATGTGTGGAAGACGTTTGAATATTGATTTTTAGTTACGCGTTTATATATTCTTGCACTGTTTATCTATGTATTTTTCTTTTTATTTATCATTGTTATGTGTTATTTACTGTTATTATAAAATATGTTATCATGTAAACTGTTATGTAAAGTGTGTATAGTGTCAAATTGGTTGTATACTGTAATGATGCTGTGCAGTTTTTAAATAAATAAATAAATAAATAAATAAATAAATAAATAAATAAATCTCAACCCAGTCCTGGACTTTGAGTTCTTAGGTCCTTTTCCTCGTTCTTTATCCAGCGATACTTGAAGCTGTCTACTTTTATTGTAGGAAGCCATGGACCATTTTGGATTCTTGTACTGTAGTTAATCAGAAACTTTGTTTTTATTTCTTTCACAGATTAGGTATCCTTGGTACCCGAGGTCGGACTTGCAATAGAACATCGGCAGGTCTCGATGGCTGTCGCCTGCTGTGCTGCGGTCGCGGCTACCAGACCCGCGTACGCGACCATGAAGAGAAGTGCCGCTGCCGATTCGTCTGGTGCTGTCGAGTACATTGCGAGATTTGTCGGTACAAACGAGACCATCATGTCTGCAACTAGAACTTAACCATCAATGTATAACGTTGTTTTACTAGAGTCGTGTTTTATACCAGTTTCGTGGTACATCTGAATCTCGATAAATCAAGACTAATTATTTAATCATTGCGTTAGGAAGCTTCACTTAAACTTCGACTCTTTACCAAACTTTTAATATTAATCTTCTGTACATACATGTACGTATGCATTAGTTTTTTTTGTAAATTGGATCAAATATTTGAGGCTACGTAGTATATGTATTGGACCTTTAGAAAAACTCCTAGACATTTATGGACCTTAATTGTTAGTTAGTTTCTTCTTAGATCTCTTTGCCAAATTGAACATTTGCTGGATTTGACCTTTTAATGTCCATTTCTCACCTAGAGAATTATAAAGTAAATTATAATGAACCGTATTTCTAAGTAATTCAAGCCCAAAAATTTTAGCTTTATTTTCTTTTAAAATTTAAAACTGATATTGGAGTTTTTAATATGTTAAAAGTATATTTGAATTTATTATATTTAGTGAAGATCGTTACCTCTTCATTGGCACTTAACGCAGCGAATCGACTGATTATTTTTAAATTATACGAACCAATTTCTTATTTGTATTTTTCGATGTTAAGCTTTAAAATTATTTACAGTATTATATTAACTTATTTTAATTTACCGTGTACAAAGCTGTAAATATTAAATAATTTTGTTAATATTAGATTTAGGCGATACAACTTATTTAAAAGAAAAATCCCCAAAACTTCAATATTAAGGCGCGATTTATACAAAAATGGCAAACGGTGAAGATGCGCTGGCGCAGAGCAAACGTAGAAAGAACGAAAAGACGTACCAGTGGGGTTAGACAAAGTGTATTCGCTCAAAAGCGATTCCATAACGAACTGACAATAACTTTCGTTAAGTCACGTGATTGTCACGCGTCAGTTCTATACGTTTTTGAAGTTCACTATGGATTCGCTTCGGAGCGAATGCATTTTGTCTTACCCCCCTGCGCCGCGCTTTCACCTTACACCATTTCTGTATACTTCGCGCCTTAATATCGGATGATAAAAATGCTTTTTTAACAGTTGTAAATAAAACCATGATTTTGTACTTAATAGAATTTATTTTATTCTACCTCAGAAGCGATATTGTTTTGATTGTTTTCTATGTACATGTACATAATGTACACTTGTACACCGTGTACATGAGAATGTACATGATGTTAACTAAATGCTTCTTTAATTTAAAAAATTGTTTTGTATTTTGATATATTTTGTACATATGTATTACATAAATGCTTACATTAGTAACTTATTGTATTAGATTGTGATAGATTTTACCCATATTATAAACATTACTTAACCCTTTGATAGTTCGTGACTCAAATTTTCCAAATCTCTAGAGATAAGTTCTATTCTGTCTGTAAATACACTCATAGTTATTATTGATTCAATTGACTCATTCAGGGCCTTTTAATTAGTCACTAAGAGACTTCTCCTTAGAGTAGATCTCTCCTATTAATTTTACTTTAAGTGCGTTAGTTAATCTACGCTAAGGCACATCCCTAGTGCCCTTTAAAAGTGCGAATTAAATCTTTTACTTTAGGCCACATAAATCTTGCCATGTTAAATTTTTTTCAATCCTTAAATTAACTGGAATTCAAATGTTTGTAATAGCGGATAAGGAACTACATTACTTTGACTCAAACGTTTTGGTAAACTTTTTCTGGTCTATTTATACAAGGTGTTCCAAAAAAGATCATCGATTCTTGGATCTATAAAGTTTCCATAAAGAAATCGATGATGTTCTCTATAAAATGTCATCTAATTAACACTAAATACTTATTTATGTAAGTATAGCCTCAAATAATATTTATGAAGTTCAAATTCGCTAATCTATTAAAGATTTTTCGTTTATTAAAAAAAATCTTCGATCTTCAAATAGTATTTGTGCCCAAAGTAACATTTGTTTTAAAATGTCAAATTATCTACAACTTACCTTTATAGTATACAGGATATTGGGCAATGTATGTATTTCGCAACATCCTGTACATTATAGTTAATTTAAAAATTAAATAATAAATATGAGAAATGTAATCTTCATAACGTTAGAGTCAAAGAAAAGACTTTTAGGGTAATTTTCTTTGAATATGAAATAGTTACTATTCGATGTACATTAAATAAACATGTGTTAGAAAGAATTAAACTCTTTTATTTATTTACGTCACAATTAAAAAATAATACGAGAAATTTTATTTAATTTCATATATTACTTAAAATTTAAGTAGTAATAAATTATTCTCCAAGAGGATTGCCCAACCAGGGGTAAACTCTTGGGCACGAGTTACAAATCTGCATCCAGTAAGTCATCTGAAACAAAAAGAAACATTAACCATGGGTTTCTAAAAAATCTCTGTATAAAACATTTCGTTAATCTTTAATCTTTACAAAACTTTTGGTCTCAAAAACCCACGGTAATATAATGAAAAAACTATGCTTCAGTAATCCCCTGTTTCATTGTTTAAACATCTGTAGAAACATACTGTCATCTCTTTATTTTCAGAGAGAATAAGAGAGATAACAATATTTTTGTATAGGTATTTTAGCAGAGTACACTTGTGGTAAGCTTTCTCGTTCTATCTTCGCCTTCCCATTCTTTGCTTATAAGAAAAGTAAGTGGATATGATGGAAGAGTAGACGCATAAGGGGTAAACATACCCTTTCGGTGCGTCCTCTCCGTCAATTAAAGTAGGGAGCGGTCGCTTCGCTATCTCGGCGAATTTAAATGGCTGCCAGCTCGTTTGAACACCTTATCTTATAATAAAAGGCATTGCTTTATTTGTATTGTTTTCTTGGCTTACCTCAGTATGTGTGGATGAGAGAGGTCCGCAACTGGTGGCACGGCAGCTCGTTGGCACGAACCTCTTGCATTCCTTCTTCACATATTCGTTCACTGGCACGGGGTTCTCAACCCAGTCAATCACTTCGCCTGCACTTACCTGAAATATAACAAATATAATAACAATTTGGTAAGATTTTTCTGTTCTAGGTTCGATTATAAATGCGAGTCAATAGTGATTTCAACTCGTTTTAATTTGTTCACACAAGTTGCATTGCTAATTTATTGACAAAGGGACGTGTGTATTGTTAGGAAGAAAATCCGACACTGCGCCGGTGTACTGGCGCAACACTAGCCTTACTAAAATGTCATTAACATTAATTATTATTTTAAATTAAGGGTCAGGGAAACTTCATTGGATGTTAATTAAGTGTCAAGACTAATTGGCGCTCAAATAATATCATCAATGATGTTCAATATATTACAAACACCACACTTTTTGAACGATTAGGTCAACTTACAATTTGTTCAATCTTTTCAAATTGTCTTTGGTGACGTAAGGACAATAAAAGAAGGCTTACCATGAAGGCATCATTAAGACTGTTGACTAGATCCAAGAATCGGACCAAGGCCCTCTTGACACCGGGATAGGCGGCGATGTACCATTCGTGGACGTAGAAGCCGAAAGGAGCACGGTTGCCGAGGTAATGCCTTTCGAAGTTAGTCAGGATGAACTTGAACCACGCTTCTTCATCATGATGAGGAGGCCTAGAAGGTCAGATTATTCATTAAATAACACACTCTATTTACTTATTTGGTAAATAGAGTAATAATATCAGATTATGGTAATTCTAACATTTTGGGAATTTTATAAAAATTAGAGGATATAGAAGACAATCAAATAAAAGTAAGGACGTAGAACGTTTATGAGTCGTGTAAGAAAAAAAAATTGTTTATAATTAAAATTGTATCTCAAATTAGAGACTTAACAAGAGGTACGAAACCTCATATATTGTAGAAATATTAAATGTTTTATCATCTTATGAACGAAAGGAATCGTGAACTAGAAGAGAATGGCTCGATATATCAAAAATAATTGCCAATAAAAGATTTTATAATACGTTACACTAGTTACAAAAAGAATGTTTACTTACACAAACACACAAGCATCAACCATGGAACAAGGGAATCCATTGAGATCTGTCCAGCTTATCATGGGGAGTACCCAAACACCGGGCACTGACGCAGTAGGGCAAGGAGGAATAATGCAGTCTTGTGTTGAAGCATAGTCCAATGTGTATGGCCACAAGCCAGGGTCGGTGAAGCCGGTGGTTGGCCATGTGGAGTCGTATCGAAGACCAGTCGCTGCCATGACTTGGAAACTGGCATTTCCAGTCATTTGAAGGAAGGGAATTCTAATTCCTGAAAAACCGTAAATTATGTTTAGCAAAATCATAACAACTTGTATACCTTTCAAAGTCAAAAGAAATATTTTACCAAATATTCTTTGAAAAGAGATCGTATTTGTTTTTTCTTATATTTGGTTGTCAAAATCCGTTAACTTATATTTTGTTTTTCTGTTTTTCAAAAGTGTTTGCTACCGTCTTTTTCTCACAAATTGAACTACAATCGAATTTTTTATCTATCTATCTAATAAATATTAGAAGACTAATTCAATACCTTGTATGGCATCTGAGGGAATGTTGGCGAAATGTGACATCTGACGTTTCTGGTCTCCGAATTCCTTCATCATGTCCTCGTAGGTTGCTTCAGACCAGTACGATTGAGGAGTTTGATGAGTGATGGAATGCAGTGCGATCTCAAAACCTTGGTTGTAAAGCTCATTGACACGTTGATAGTCAGTGTACTCATGGTTAACGAAGAAGGTGACACTCGCGGGACAGTTGTTCTTGTTTGTGCGTCGGTAGATGATTTCACGGTAGGTCTCAATGTTGCGAATGTTGACACCATCGTCGAATGTTAGCATAACGAACTGTAAAGAGATGGAAATTAAAAACGATTACGTTTAATTTTCTTTGGAGACGTACTCGTTCTAGCACTTAATCCTGATTGGTAGATATGTAATCAATATGATTTATTTGTGTTTTTTGGCTGCTATTTTTATTTTATTATTTACGTTCATCACCTTTCTTTCACAAAGTATCTACCGACTGGTAAGAGGTCTGTTATTTTTAGTTACTTTACAATCTTTATCACTGCCATTTCCTAAACGTTTTCTGACAGAAGATCGTTAGTTGTGGAAAATGATTAACTGCTAGCAAGCAGTTGTATAGAATATTGAGAAATATCCCAGTGGACTGATACTGGCTGATGATGATGAAGTTTATTTTTTTACCTGTGGAGTATCTCTTGGTGCAAGATCTCCGGGAATATCGGTGGACGAGCACCGGCATTTCGGCAGTTTGCAAAGTTCCTTGTTACATTCTTCAGCTAACGGCGCCTCGGGTTCTTCAGCAATCGCTAAACCTATTAACACACTTAATAAAATAAACGTCACCGTCTTCATGTTTTCGGCACTTTGATAAAGACAAGTAAATTGAAACTTGATGTCGATTTTATATACTTACTGATATTATCAACTATTTGATTTATATCACCAAATCATCAATGATCACAGATTTTGTTTATCAAGATTAAAATAATCTGATAATCGTACCGCCTTTTCGTGACATCGTTTCGATTTTCGGGGTTTCCTTTAATATAATATCAAATTTTGATGCTTGATTAACAATTAAACATATTTTTAGAACGAGATAGTGTATTATTTCGTTAGAAATTGTTGATAAGGTGTAGGAAAAATTATAAGTCAAACCTTAAGGAAGTTAGAAAATTAAATCGATGAAATAAAATGTAGTACAATGTCAATGTCGTGCATAAGACCAGTGCAGAGTCCGAGCATTTCTTTGGATAACCCGAGACACACTTCTGTTCCCTTCTGTCGTGTCGTGTCGTGTTCTCTTCTGTTCTGTGTTCTGTTTGAAGTTCTGTTCTGTATCATTGTTGATCGGCGTACCGTTTTCATATATTAAGATTCTAAAAGTGACTATTTTGCTTAAATATTATGAATTTTATTAAGTATTCAAAAATGGTTTTTCGGTTACAGATTCAGACAAAAAACTATTTATATAATACTATTGATAAAGCAGTGAAAGAAACTATCATCATCTCTTCATATTTTAATATTCCCATCCACGTTTCGTCTTATGAATGTACTTTCCGGAGGCCTAATTTTAGACTCCTAATTTAGGGTTAGTGAATTTGACAGAGTAAGGAACACATTGGCCCTCTATCCATTGAAAATAGGCAAGGCATGTGGAATTGCGGGCGATGGGCAGCGGTCGCTTTTGAATACTTATCAAAATTCTTAATATCGAAACAAAATAATCGCTTTTAGTTGTAAATAAGGAAGTTGTTAGAATTTTCGCAGGTTTCATCACAGAAGAAGAGCAACGTAGACTCCGCGCTGACAATACTCGGCTGGCGCGGGAGCTGGAGTTAGTCCGCAGGGAGCTCCGCGCCTTTAAAGAGGCGTATACAGAGGCACACAAAAAATCAGCCCCGGGGATGCATCTAGGACTCAGCCGGGTCTAAAGAAGATCCTGAACGATACGATGGAAGAAATGAAACGCGAGCTCTTGCAGTCAGTGGGCGGAATGGTTAACGCCCGCCTCCAAGACTTGGAGATGCGTCTTCCTGCAGAGTCTGTGATCAGGCCTTCCCTCAACTCTGATCAGCGGCAGCCACCGCCGCCACGCCACAGAGTCCAGCCTAGCCTGGCGATCGGTGCTAGAGAAAGAACCGACGAACCAGCCCAGGTGAAGGCTGCTAAGCCAGGGCCCAAGAAGGCACCGAAGAAGAAGGCGAGGCCGACTGCCCCTCCACCGCCGCCGCCTTCTCCTCCCTCTAATGGAAGAGAGAGGGAAGGAGATGTAGTTATAGCCTCCTCATCTGGAGCAGGGCCAGGGCAGCTAGACCAGCCCCCTCCTCAAGAGGATCCGTGGTCGAAAGTTGTCGGCCGTAAAACAAGGGGGAAGGCCCCATCTCAACCCGCCCCCATCCAAAGTAAAGCAACCCAAAAAAGGGTCGCCACAAAGCCTATCAAGATAGTGGCCCCCAAGACGGCGGCCATTATGTTGACCCTGAGGGAGGAGGCGACTATCGCCACAACTGACGGCCAAATTGTTGCGGTTAAGTACCCGGAGGTCCTAGCCAAAGCTAGGGCATCCATCTCACTTAAAGATTTTGGTTTGGAGTCGGTCAAGATACGAACTAGTATGACCGGCTCCAAACTGATGGAGGTGGGAGGGGAGACTCCAGACGCGTCAGCTGACCGCCTAGCCGCGGAGTTGACCAGGGTCGTTGGGACCTGGGTGGATGTTGCTCGCCCAACCAAATTGGTCGACATTCGGGTGTCTGGTCTAGATGACTCTGTGAACTGCACGGAGCTGGCGGAAAGGGTGGCGACGGCTGGCGGCTGCTCCCCCACCTTGGTTAAAGTGGGCCAAATCCGACCCAACTTCTGGGGCGGTGGCTCAGCTATTCTAAGATGCCCAGCGGCAACTGCTAAGGCAGTCGTCGCAATGGGCAAAATGGCCATTGGTTGGACAATGGCCACCATTACGGCTGTGCAGGCCCAACCTATGCGCTGCTATAAGTGCATGATGCTGGGCCACACACGTGCCCTGTGCCCCTCAGAGTGCGCAACGGAGGTAGAGACTGGGCAACTCTGCTTCCGTTGTGGGAAAGAAGGGCACAAGGCGGCCGCGTGCGAGGCCCCTGCCAAATGCGCAGTGTGTGCAAAAGCAGGACGCCCGCACGCGCATCTGATGGGGGGAGCTAAATGTGCACCCCCTACCGTTAAAGGGAAGGTTCATATAATAAGGCCTTCCCAAAACCCGCCACAGAGCCGACAGGCGGCCGAGGAAGATATGCAGGTGTCTTAATGTCTGGACACCTGCATATCGAATTCCTGCAGACCAACGCCAACCACTCCGCCCGCGCACAAGACCTGCTCATGCAGGTGCTGGCGGAGTGGGGAATTGCCGTTGCGGTCGTGGCCGAACCGTACGTAGTACCCCCTCACCAAAACTGGGTTGGGGACCGAATGGGCTTGGTCGGTA